AAACACAGAGAAGACCCACAAGGTTGTCTGCTACACCTGCTCCTCTAAATCCAGAGCCTAAGCCTAAAAAGTTCCCTGTAAAGAAGGGAAAGAAGGTACCCAAAGGAAAAATTGGCGAGGATGAGAATAACCCTGCAGAAAATGGAGTTGCCAAAACAGACCAGGCACAGACAGCTGAAGGTGTTGGAGATGCCAAGTGAAGTGTGTGCATTTTTTGATAACTGTATTTCTAGTGACTGTACAGTTTAAAATACTATTTTTCAATCAAGTTTTATAAAAATGCAGAATTTTCTTTTACTTTGTTTTTTAACTTATGTTGTTAGCCCACAGGACACTTTATTGTTGTTCTCCTTGGAGGAGGGGCATATGTCACTAGTAAAATGTCTCCAAAACTGGACTGATGTGTGGAAAACACCTTTCCCTTCTAGTTTGGAGAGACTCCCTCCTGGTTCCCAGGAGGAGGGATTCCCAGATAATGACACACAGCCACCTTGGCACAAATGCATTGTGGTGTGGAAAAACTAAAATTTATTTTTATGTCCTCTTCTCCCTCTCTGCCTTCAGCATAGACTTAACTCCTTTAAATCTGTTGGGACCTGACCCCCCGCAAAATAGGTTACCATAATGCCAGGCAATCTGGACTTTTCACTGATGCCACTGAGATGGCATACATCAAAAAAGCAATTCCTGGGGCCGGCCCATAGCTCACTCAGGAGAGTGTGGTGCTGACAACACCAAGTCAAGGGTTAAGATCTCCTTACCGGTCATCTTTTAAAAAAAAAAAAGCAATTCCTTTTCTAGATTGTGGATCTTCAGATTGATTCTGCCATTTTAATTTCATTTCTTGAAAGTCCCAGGGCCGGCCTGTGGCTCACTCGGTAGAGTGCGGTGCTGATAACACCAAGGCCACGGGTTCGGATCCTATATAGGGATGGCCGGTTTGCTCACTGGCTGAGCGTGGTGCTGACAACACCAAGCCAAGGGTTGAGATCCCCTTACCGGTCATCTTTTAAAAAAAAAAAAAAAAAAAAAGAAAGTCCGGGTCAGCGTGTGAAAAGTTGTTAAATATGCTAACAGCGAAGTTTTAACTCTCACTCTAAACTTTCCTTGTTCAGAGCATCAAATGAAGACTTCACTAGGTTTTTTAGTGGCTTTCTAATTTTAGTAGTCCATTAAAGAAGGGAGTATGAAAGTTGTTGTATACTGTTAATGATTGTCTGCCCATGTCTTGCCTAAAATACCACAATTGTTTATGAAAAGTATCTTTAATAAAGCTGGTTACAGTTTGTTTTGGGGGGAAAAAAAGGTAAAACAAAAAGCAAAGAAATGCAAACAGAAAAAAGATTTTTTAAATTACAGAATCAGTCTGAGATCCGACAACTGCCCAATAGGAATTCCAAAAAGAGGGAACAGAAAAAAAACTAGAAAAAGGAAACAAGAAAATGTCTACAGTGAACAGTTCATCTGGTGCCCAGCAAAATAAGGGAAAAAGCACAAAGGCATCATCACTGTGTTACTTCAGAGCACAAAGATCTAAAGGCAAGATCCTGAAAGATTCCAGAGGGAGGGGGAAAAAACAGGTCACAAAGAACAGGTAACCACAATGGCACTGTCCTTCACAGCATCATCACTAGAAGGTAGAAGGCATGGGGCAATGACTGAAACTGATTAGAAGAACAACAAATTAAAGTAATTCCTTACTTAAAACTTTCTACCCAACTAAATTATCATTCAACTGTGTCTACAAACTATAAAAGTTTTCTGATATGGAAGGTCTCAGAAATTGTCTCCCATGCATTCTTTTTCCTAGGAAATAAACTCTAGCAAAACAAAGAGTTAAACCAAGAAGCAAGACACAGGATCCACAAAGCAATAGACCCAATACAGGAAAGAAGCAAAAAAAAATTATTTCCCAGGATGATGGTGAAGGCTAGTCCTAAGATATCCACATATCAGACTTAAAGAACAATCAGCCAAGACTGAAGCACTAGTATGGCCAGCCTCATCTCTAACCTGCCTTCATCATCATCCTGGGGGGGTGGGGATGAGGGTAAAGTAAGCACTTGGCAGATAGAAAACTAAGCAGACTAAGAGAATAAGGCAATTATTAAAATAAAACAGGGAAAATAAAAGTTGGAAAAGAAAGGAAATGCAATCACTGTACACTGCAGCTTACCTCTGAAAAATATTTATGTAGACACGAGAAATACCAAATACTAATTTAACTCCAAATAATGACACAGGTTGAGCATTCCAAATCCGAAAATCCAAAAATCTGAAATGCTCCAAAATCCAAAACTTTTTGAGTGCTGACATAATGCTCAAAGGAAGAGCTCACTGGAGCATTTTGGATTTTTGGGTGTGGGATGCTCAACTGGTAACTATGAGGGTACTTCAAAAAGTTCATGGAGCCGGGCCGGCCTGGTGGCGCACTGCTACAGTGCTCCGCCTGGGAGCGTGGCGGCACTCCCGCCGAGGGTTCGGATCCCACATACAGACTGGTCCCCGCTACCTGGTGGGGGGGGGTGCGGGTGCAACCCCGAGGGTTGCGATCCGTTGCCGGACCCGAAAAAAAAAAAAAAAGGTCATGGAGCCGGCCCGGTGGCGCACTGGAGAGTGCTCCGCTTGGGAGCGTGGCGGCGCTCCCGCGGAGGGGTCGGATCCCATGTGGAGACCGGTTCCCGCTCACTGGCTGAGCGGGGTGCGGGTGCAACCCCGAGGGTTGCGATCCGTTGCCGGACCCGAAAAAAAAAAAAAAAGGTCATGGAGCCGGCCCGGTGGCGCACTGGAGAGTGCTCCGCTTGGGAGCGTGGCGGCGCTCCCGCGGAGGGGTCGGATCCCATGTGGAGACCGGTTCCCGCTCACTGGCTGAGCGGGGTGCGGGTGCAACCCCGAGGGTTGCGATCCGTTGCCGGACCCGAAAAAAAAAAAAAAAGGTCATGGAGCCGGCCCGGTGGCGCACTGGAGAGTGCTCCGCTTGGGAGCGTGGCGGCGCTCCCGCGGAGGGGTCGGATCCCATGTGGAGACCGGTTCCCGCTCACTGGCTGAGCGGGGTGCGGGTGCAACCCCGAGGGTTGCGATCCGTTGCCGGACCCGAAAAAAAAAAAAAAAGGTCATGGAGCCGGCCCGGTGGCGCACTGGAGAGTGCTCCGCTTGGGAGCGTGGCGGCGCTCCCGCGGAGGGGTCGGATCCCATGTGGAGACCGGTTCCCGCTCACTGGCTGAGCGTGGTGCAGGCGCAACACCGAGGTTTGCGATCCCGTTGCCGGTCCCCGGTACAGGCGCGTCACCGAGGGTTGCAATCCCGTTACCAGTCAGTAAAAAAGATAAAAAGGAAAAAAAAAAAAAAAGTTCATGGAAGGATTCATATTATCTAATTCTATTTTTCCATGAACTTTTTGAAGTACCCTCATATATAATGTAAATATTCTAAAATCTAAAAAAATCAGAAATCTGCAACACTTCTGGTCCCAAGCATTTCTTTTCTTTTTTGGTGGCTGGCCAGCGCAGGGATCCAAACCTTTGACCTTGATGTTATAACACTGCACTCTAACCAACTGAGCTAAATGGCCAGCCCCAAGCATTTCAAATAAGGGAAAGGACACTCAGCCTTTTTATCATTTCAAATCCAAGACACTATAGATTATAAATCATACCATTACTTTAAGTACTACCGAAAAAGGAAAAATTAAAAATTGCAAAGTTAGAAAGGAAATATTGCTAATTAAAAGACACTATAGGGTAAAGAGGTATTAAAATATAAAAGAATATGCATCTTAGAATCAATTTAATATATTAACCATATTGGAAAAAGGAAAACTGTTTATATTGGACCAAATGGTGTAAGAAAGCCAAACCACCACCTTGAAAAGAAGGGAATCAGTATGTAATGTCTGAAATTAATGGAAAAAATTAAAGCACAATATACCATTTAGAAACATGGAGAAAAAACAGGCCGGCCCGTGGCTCACTCGGTAGAGTGCGGTGCTGATAACACCAAGGCCACGGGTTCGGATCCTATATAGGGATGGCCGGTTTGCTCGCTGGCTGAGCGTGGTGCTGACAACACCAAGCCAAGGGTTGAGATCCCCTTACCGGTCATCTTTTAAAAAAAATAAATAAATAAACTATGTATCTTGTGCGATGAGAGCATTTCTGTCCACAAAGAGCTTAATCCTCACATTAGGATCTTCTAGTGTCTCTCTACCAGTGGAATGGGGGCACGGTTTGCAGATTTCTTTGTTGATGTTTTGATGTATAATGCTGCAAGTGACACCTGTTAGCTGTGGTGCTCTGAAGTAGGTCTGTTCCTTACAGGAAAGAATCATGGAGAAAAATACTAAAAGAAATAGCTGAAAGAGCTGAAAGTAATTGCCTCTAGAGTACGGGACTCCAAGGCAGGAATAACTGGGGAAGATTGCTGTTTTTCATTTGAGATTTGACTATTTACATGTATTACATTCATGAAAATAAATTTTTAAAAAAACAAAGGAACAAGAAGCAAATCTAAAGCTAACTTATAGAAAATTTCAACAGCCTAAATAATTTCAGATTATTGGTGTACCATGAAAAAGGATATTAAGAAAAACTTAAAAGAACATATATATATACCCTAAAACCTCACCCAGTTTCAATGTTATACAAATCTAAATTTTAGGTAAAATTAAGTCAAAGTGAAAAATTTAATCAAGCCTGCTGTAAATCTGCTTCATAGTATTTTACCATGCCAGACACACAGATGTTGAATTAAGATAACTCCAAAGTTGACCTGTTAGAGACAGAAAAGCGTGGGAGTCATGCCACTGTTCTAAACCTCTGACTTCCTGCTGTAAGATAAGACCCAACTGACACCATCAGGCAGGTATGAATTTGCAGCTACAGCAAAGTTACATAAAACTAAAATAAACTTGGAAAAAGTTATAAAAGCTTGTAAGGGTACATTATCTAAATAAGTTACTTTTAGCCAACCATGTCATTAAGTTACCATTATTTGTTACTTACATCTTGAAACATTTTGTTTTCTTGTTTTAGTCTAGCTTCTTTATCATCTGAGAGTTTATAAGCATTCTCAAAGGCTTCTTCTAAATCCTGCAATCTAGATTTTAGTCGAATAATGGTATTGTCTTTTTCTTTATTACTTGTTCTCATTTCCTCGATTCGTTCCTGCAAAATTTTGGAGGCACTGCTGGCTGCACTGAAGCGTTCTCTCAAATCATTCTACAAAATCAGACGAGGATAATAAATTATTTTAAATGAAAAAACAGATGTCTCAATAATAGCTAATAAACTGTGGGCATTAAAATATAAAAGTAATAAAACAAAACATATAAATGGAAATGAGCAAATTTAATATTTTGTTTATCCCGGGATGCAGAGTCCAGAAAGTATTTCTCTACTAGAATTAATATTGTTGTGAAATTATCATAAAATATCGACAGAAAGCCACTGTGTGCAGTACCGTGATACCTGGACTCTCCTATGGATCACTTTAATGAGGAAAAAATAATCATGGCTATTAGAGAAATTATCCTTAAAGTATAACTGGAATTTGTTGCTCAACATTAATATTTGGCAGGGGGGATCATTTCTTAAACCTATTCTCTCATTTACTATGGAAATAGAGAAAATTCAAAATGCATCTAATATGTTGTTCATTAAACAATCATTTCTGGAATACCCACTAGGTGCCAGGCACTAGGGTGCTAGAAATATAAAATTAACAAGACAGACAATAGTCCCTGATTTCATGAAATTTACAGTTTAGAAAGAGACAAAGATAACTAAAAGAGCAACAAAGACAGAAACAATGTACAAAACAAAAGAGACATTTTCCACCAAAATTTTGTTTATAAGTTTACATGTAGAAGAATGAAACTTGGTAATGCATTTTTTAAAAATTATTAAGAGTAAAAAAAAATTACTAAGAAAGTAAAAGTTTATGCATTCCTAAAACATATGTGCACATAAAATCTTGTACACAAATATTCACAGCAATATCATTCTTAATAGCCAAAAAGTAGAAACAACCTAAACATTCATCGCCTTGTGACTAAATAAACAAAATGTGGTATATTCATACAATGGAATATCAGTTGACCATAAAAAGGAATGAAATGCTGATACAGGCTACAACATAGATGAACCCTGAAAACATCATGCAAGGTGAAAGAAGCCAGACACAAAAGGCCCCACAGTGTATGATTTCATTAACATCAATGTCCAGACAAGGCAAATCCGTAGAGACAGAAAGTACAGTAGTGATTGCCAGGGCTGGGAAGAAGAGAGTGTGTGGGAAGTGACAGTTGAGGGATGTGGAGTTTATTTGCAAGAAAAATGTTCTAAAATTAATTGTTAGTGATGGTTGCACAACTCTGAATATACTAAAAACTACTGGATTGTAAAAGGGTGAGTTTTATGGTATGAAAATTATATCCCAATTTTAAAAGTAAATAAATTTTTTTAAAAGGGTAAAAGTTTATAGTACCATATGAAGCCAAAGCACTCAAAATATAAACTTAATGATAAGACAGGCTTAAGAAGACAAACACATAACCAATGTTATATAAAACCATTCATTTGTCTCTCAAATTCAGTTAATAAAAAGGCTTTTTAACATTAAGCCACTAGAACTACCACCAAAAAAAGAGTACTTACCACTTCTATTTCCAGTAAGTTATTCTTATTTTCAAGTGTTCTCACACGGCTAGTAGCTTCATTCAGAGCACTATCTAACTGGCCACATCTAAAAGTCATAAATTGAAATTAAACAATTAGAAAACAAAATATTTTCCCTTCAAAGTATTGCATAGGGTTGGATGGTTAGTTTGGTTTGTCAAAGTGCAGCCCTATAACATCAAGGTCAAGGGTTTCGTTCCCCATACCAGCCAGCCACCAAAACAAAACAAAAAAATTTTTAAGTATTACATAGTATTTTATAAATCTGATTCTCCAAGATATAACATAAAACTGTCCAATGTTAGCTAAGACCCAGGATGCCATTTTGGTAAAATATATCCCAGTGTACCTGATATTATAGTAACCAGAGAAAACAGCCGCTAAAATAATATGAAAAGATCTCTAAGAAATATTAAGTGAAAAAAAGCAAGATATGAACAGGTATTTGTATACTCATGTTCATAGCAGCACTATTCACAATAACCAAAAGGTGAAAGAAACCCAAGTGTCCATCAACAGATGAACAGATAAAAATGTGATGTATACATACAACAAATTATTGAGCCTTAGAAAGGAAGGAAATTCTGACATATGTACAACATGGACAAACTCTGATGGTATTATGCTTAGTGAAAAAAGCCAGACACGAAAGGACAAATACTGTATGATTCCACCTATATAAAGGCACTAGAGTAGTCAGATTCATAGAGACAGAAAGTAGAATGGTGGGTGCCCAAAGCTGGGGAGGAAATACAGGGAGTTACTGTTTAATGGGGTATAGAGCTTCACTTCTGCGAGATGAAAAAAGTTCATGGATGGCAGTGATGGTTGCACAAAAATATGAAGATATTTAAGCCACTGAACTGTACACTTACAAATGGTTAAAATGGTAAATTATAATTATGTATATTTTACAGTATAAAAATTAAAATTTAAGAAACAAAATAAAGGAGCCGTGGCTCACTTGGGAGAGTGTGGTGCTGATAACACCAAGGCCACGAGTTTGGATCCCTATATAGGGATGGCCCATTAGCTCACTTCTGAGAGCGTGGTGCTGACAACACCAAGTCGAGGGTAAAGATCCCCTTGCCGACATCTTTAAAAAAAAAAAAAAGAAAAGAAAAGAAACAAGATAAAAACACCAAGGTCAAGGGTTCGGATGCCTACACCAGCCAGCCACCAAAAAATAATTTTTCAATAAAATAAAACAAGATACAGAAGACTGTATAAAATTGCTTGATCTTGTAGTGAAAAAATTTATACATACATATACACATTATGATTTCCAGATGGATGCAAAAAATTAAGTCTGGGATGTTGAGACTAGAGGTTGGGGTAGGGATACTTACTTTTCATATTACATCCTCTATACTATTTCAAACTTAGTGTGAATGTATTATGCCTATAATTAAATACATTCTTTGTGAAGTTAATTATCATAGAACCTTAAAATAACAAATACGTGGAAGAATTCAGTTACCATTTTGACTCAGTGTTTAGTGCTGTACTGTGAATAATAAAAGCTTTTATTTATTTGGCAATGATTATACATGGGGTCTATATTAAGCACTTTACATTCATCCTCACAATCCTGTAAAATCCTGTAGGATTATAATCAGTCCCATTTTACAGATGAGAAAACATAGACAAAGAAGTTAAATTCCTCACCGAAGGACACACACTTGTTGTAAGCAGTCACACTTCGGATTCTAAGCCAGGCTGTCTGGCTTCAGAATTCATGCTGTTAACCACACTGCATTAACGCCTCTCAGAGATGAATTGCTGATAAGACTTCTTGAAAGAAAGAGCACTGTGTGATAACTGTATTTTACTGTTTTCACCACCTCACTGATGCTGATATGCCAGAGATCACTATCCCCTGAGATGCAACTGTGTGATGTCATAATCTTATATCACAGCTGGCCTATACCACATATGCTTAATGGCTCCAGGTTGCATTCTAGTGAGATTCTCCAATTTGCAACTTTACATTTGAAAAAAACTGCTGTGAATGCTGATAACATAACATAGGCTCTTGTCTTGGGGAAATCATTTCTCCAGTTCTAAGTGATTATAACTTCTCACTTTATTTTTACTGTCCTCTGTATTGCAAAACTTTCATATTGTATAGCTTTTATACTGTAAGCCAGATCAAATCCTTTTTGAGAAGTAGGAGAGAATAAATAATGTATTGTTATTCATTTGCACAGTATTGTTACACTTACTCCAGTACCCTAGATTGCCATTATTAACTATTACATCACAGCCATTTATTTAAAACCCTGACTTCCAATTTGCTCCACCTGCATTCTCTCATTGCTGTGTGTGCTCCTATCTTGCAGCTTCTAGACATAAAAATGTTTTAATTAGCTATCATTTACTGGATGCCTTCTTTAGCACCCTGTCTTTAACCTTAAAAAGCCCACTCATGGGCCTCTTTCATACTTGTGTTTTGAAACAGGAAGTAACTGTATTCATCTTTGCCTTCTTAAAAAAAAAGATGAACCAATTTCCTCTAACCTGCTACTATTCTTTTCTTTTTGACTTAAAAAACCTAAACCTGGGCCAGCCCATGGCTTACCTGGGAGAGTGTGGTGCTGATGGCACCAAGGCCACGGGTTCAGATCCCTATATAGGGATGGCTGGTTAACTCACTTGGGAGAGCGTGGTGCTGACGACACCAAGTCAAGGGTTAAGATCCCCTTACCAGTCATCTTAAAAACAAACCAACCAACCTAAACCTGGCCCAGGGCGGGGATAGGGAGGGTTCTTTTTAAGTTACTTCTCCCTATCACTGTACCGCTATCACCAAAAGCAAAATGGAAGCTATAGAAACGCTCAGGAATAAAACAGACAAGTTAACTACCACAGCTACCAAAAACTATTTAGTATAGGCTAGTTTTACTATAACTCTGAAAAAGTTAAACTATTATCAGAAAATTTGAGTTCCCTCCTATCCTCTTTGAAAGAGGCTTTGTCTTCTGCTTTAGACAAGAACTCTGCTATCATCTAAACCTGCAGCAATTTTCAATCTAAGTCCCATTTAATTGTAAGTATGTTGCTTTGTTACTAACTAAAGCATCAAATTTTGTAAATGATTATCTCTAAAACAGGCGTAAAGCTATCCCTAATATAAGTCCCTTCTCCCTTACATTTCTAAGGTTCAAGTGAATGGGATAATTGCCTATAGGTTTTTTGAAATGAGCAGGACTGAAGCCATGTTGGGACCTAAAACTACATGTGCTCTAAAGACTTTAAAAGGACACATTTGGGGGCCGGCCCGTGGCTCACTCGGGAGAGTGTGGTGCTGATAACACCAAGGCCATGGGTTCGGATCCCATGTAGGGATGGCCGGTTAGCTCACTGGGTGAGCATGGTGCTGACAACACCAAGTCAAGGGTTAAGATCCCCTTACCGGTCATCTTTAAAAAAAAAAAAAAGGACACATTTGCTTTGTTTTGGTTTTTAGTACGCATTTCTCTGAGTTCTTTTTTTCCATGGTTATTTGAAATTTTGAACTTGGTTATGGGACAAGATGATATTATTTACATGAATGTAAAGTTGTTTTCTAGCCAGCCTAAAGCTGCAAACTTGCAGACTCTGGGAAACCAAGAAAAACATCAATAAAGCTACGCTGATTCTCTCCAGCAGGATCCTGAGATAACAGCAAGGTTGGGAGCAGAAACCAGGCAGTGTTGGTGAGACTTTGCACCTGAGACCTTACATGAAGCCCTCACTGCTCATGTGCCCCTCTCTCTTGCTTTTCATTTTCCCACATTCCATTCCTTCAGACCCCTCTTAAAAAACCACTCAGTAAATCTGAGTCTTTGAGATGGCTTCAGCCTGGCCATTCTCCTTCAGGTTTACCAGAGAGATGGTTTAGCCTCACATCTCTCCTCAGGTCGCCAGTATTCCTGAATAAATCTTCCATTTTCACCAACATTTGACTTTAGAGTGGTTTGTTTTTGAATGGGGTCAGGCAGTCAGACCTGAGCCCTGTAACAGGTTCATGAGAACTACAGCACTTTTAAGTTATGCACGTCTGGAGTTTTAAACAAACAAAAAAAGTGTTGAGAGCTGCCATAAGGCATAAGCCACAGACTTACTAGAGACCCCATAGTGCTAATCCTTCCATAAATAATATTACTCTACATAAGACAAAATCTGCTCAATTGTTTCAGTATTTTACCCATACAAAATAAATGGCTTTAAGTTACTAGTGTATTATAAGAGGTAGGTTCATATCTTTAAAAATACTCTACTTTAGGCAAACATGTCTGTGTGTTCAAAATTTCAAATCCAAAGTACAAAGTGTTTTATCATCACAATTTAGTATACTTTTGAGGAAATAATACATCCAGGTTGGAAAAACACTTGGGCCGGCCCGGTGGCACACTCGGTAGAGTGCGGCGCTTGGGAGTGCGGCAGGGAGGATCCCATATAGAGACCAGTCCGTTCACTGGTTGAGCGCGGTGCGGGTGCGACACTGAGGGTTGCAATCCCGTTGCTGGTCGCAGTACGGGCGCGACACTGAGGGTTGCGATCCTGTTGCCGGTCACAAAAAAAGATAAAAAGGAAAAAAAAAACAAAACACTAACTTCACAGTTAAATTATAAGTTTTACCTGTCTACAAGAATTTGATTTGTTTTCTTCCAATCTTCAACTGCAGAAATTTCTTTTGCCTCCAACTTCTGTTTTAAACTATTTATTTCTGATTCATAATAAGCCCGAAGATCCGCTATGTGTCGAGCATGCTTTTCCTTCAGGTTCTGCCTAATCCTGTTAGTGAGAGTAAAACAAACAAAAAAATTAAGAAAGCATATCTTCCCTCCCTATCCCACAAGAGAAACCAAGAACACAATCATTCTCACAAGCAAAAATACAGGCTATTTCCTTTGCACACTCACAGAAAATAATAGATTAATACACAAAAAGTTGATAAACAATAAAGAGAAAAAAAGATTTAATTTTTAGATGTTCTATCTTAAAAATGCTATTATTTTTAAGATTTTATACATTACTAAAGTTCAATAAAAAGCATTTTCATCATTTAGTCAGGCATCACAGGCAATCTATTAACATTACAAGCCATTCGCTGAAATACATACTTAGACAATATCACAGGATCTTCCAAGGAAGTCAATGAAATGCATTCTGGGACACTGTTGGCTGTACCTGGAAGCTGAGACTGACTGACCGAGGCCGAAGCTATCATGACAGTGTTTTCCTCATCTACAGTGTTGACTGAGATATCATTACTAGTAATAGTATATACTGAAGGAAATGTGGAACTGGTCCTACTTTCATTTTGGAATGCATGATTTTTCCAAGAGTCCATTGGTGAAGCTTTTGTATCTGAAGGATATTTTGGGAATCCAGATAACTGAGAAGCAATATTACTTGCTTGTGAAAGTGAGTCTATGTCAGAGTGACTAGACAAACTAGGTTCTAGAACAGAGTCTGGTGAAAAGGATATTCTGTCATTGAGGGCATTCATAAAGCCACGTGGTTGAATCCCTGAAATCTGCTGATTTGGCTTCATATGTAACGTTGGATCTAGAGTCAGTACCTAGAAATAAGACAGACAACAGCATGGTTTTACTCTCAATACTTGGTTTCTGTTTGGCATGTTTTTAAGTGAATAGGCTTTAGATCTCCCAGGGAAAATAAAGCTTAAGATAAAAGAGTCATGAAGCATCTTTCATTTTCATTCAGCAGAATGTTGACAACTTTACCTCTGGTGGGTGATTTTGGTTGGAAGCAGAAGTGAGATTCCTCTCAGGTAACTGCTTGTTTTCCCTTTGTTTTTTATGATAAATATCCTTCAGTGATGGTAGCTTCATCTCATTACTAGTATTAGACTTAAAGATATGAAACAAAATTATTTAAATAGTATTATCAAAGATGGAAAAAAAATTACTGATATCAAGATCAGTACAATAAGAAGATTTTTGAAAGATTTTAAATGAACTGAAAGTTTTAGTTTAAGTTCAGAAGTCATTACCTATTATTATGAGTCTCCCTCAAAATGAAATAATTTTCATATCTCCTAACAATGAATATTCAGGGGATAATTTGAACCTAAGTTATTTAGCAGCCTGTGAATAATTCCAAAGAATAAAATCCTTGGTAATCCCCCCCACTCAAAAGAAGAACGAAAGCTTAAGGTAAGAAAAGACTTCAAAATGAATGAATGAAGTAGGATGAGAAAATTTCTGGCCATATTATTTCAAGTGATTCAAGGGGACAAGTATCAAGGGTTGGAATTCCTTACCTATGTTGTGGTATTCATGTTTCTTTAAAGAGGTGGCAGACAAAAACAAGCATTAAGAAGTTACCCAATGAGCCTTATAACACCAGTATCACAGGTTTGGATCCCCATACTGGCCAGTGACCAGGGGGGAAAAAAAAATAAGTTATCCAATGAAAATAAGCTCCTTTTTTAATTAATAAAATGAAAAGATATGACCCTAATTTCTAAAGCATAAAATCAGATCTTTCCTATGCTACAAATGCTGCAAACATTAAAACTCTGGGTTTAAATCACCTCAAGGTGGGACCTATTGTAGGGTATGATAGTGGTACCAATTAACCCCGAGCCTCAAATTAAAACGGTGGACGTTGTCTCAAACGAAATTATAGATTCAACAAAAGACACACCGAAAGCACTGAAAGAACACATTCATCATACAGCTTTAAATTTATATCCAGGCCCTACAAAGGCTACAGAGCATCATGAATTAACATTGTAAAATAAACCCTATAACTAGGCTTGTGAATAAGACAATTAATTATACTTTGTGTGTGTGTGCACGAAAGGCATTAATTTGTCAAATCTAAACCCTTAAAACATACCATAATTCCCATAATCCTGCTTTGGAATTTTACTCTTTATATACCAACAACTTTAAGAAGCCTTTTCATGTCCTGAAGCTTATGACAAGCAGCAGCACTCTAAGCTATGGCTACAGCCTGAGAAGTCCCTGTCTGGTGGCCTGGGTGAACAGTTGGAGTTATTCTATTTAGAGTTCGCGGTAATATAAGGTACCATTTTCCATCACTTTTATGTTCTTTTATTTTTTTGGCAGCTGGTCAGTATGGGGATCTGAACCTTTGACCTTCGTATTTGTAACACCATGCTCTAACCAACTGAGCAAACTGGCTAGACCGTTTTCATATTTTAACATCTCTGAAGTCAGGATGCCTCTCGTAATTAATGGCATCTTATAATTGCTTATGACCAAATAGCAGTTATGACATAATTGTCATTGCCTGCTCATAAGCAAATATCAAAACCATCAAAGTTGTCCAAATAGATGTCAGCAGTTTGAAAGAAAATACTAAAGACTAAAATGTAATCCCTGAGAACAAATACTTAAAGGTGAATCAGACATGTTTAGCAACATTCTCCATCTGAAAGTCAAAAGTAGGCTAGTTCGGGGCCGGCCCGGTGGCGCACTGGATAGTGCGCCGCTTGGGAAGCGCGGCGGCGCTCCCGTCCGAGGGTTCGGATCCCATATACAGACCGGTTCCCGCTCACTGGCTGAGCGAGGCGCGGGAGCAACACCGAGGTTTGCGATCCCGTTGCCGGTCCCCGGTCCGGTACGGGGGCAACACTGAGGGTTGCGATCCGTTGCCGGACACGGAAAAAAGACCAAAAAAAAAAAAGTAGGCTAGTTCTACACAATTACTAAAGCCAGGTAAAAACTCAGCACCAAGGTCTTTTATTCTTTTTTAAAGAAATGTCAAATCACCAATGCTCTTATGGCCTGGACGAAGATATGCGGAAAAACATGGAAATCAACACTGAGTTGAAAAGAGAAGTGTAAGCCTCATAGGTAAAATGTTTCTTTTGCGTTTTTTTTTTTTTTTTTTTTTTTGGGGGGCAGCTGGTCAGTCTGGGGATGCAAACCCTTGACTAGGTTAAGTTTTTAGCCACTTTTATTTCACTTATGTTTTCCTTTTTAAAGTATGTATAAGTATACGTTATGATATATGACACAAACTTATGTTTAATTAAATCTAAGAGCTCTTTCCATAAGAACAAAATATAAATTCTTAAATTCTTTTTTTTTTTTTTTTTAAAGATGACCGGTAAGGGGATCTTAACCCTTGACTTGGTGTTGTCAGCACCACGCTCTCCGAAGTGAGCTAACCGGCCTTGGTGTTGTCAGCACCACACTCCCGAGTGAGTCACGGGCCGGCCTCCCTAAATTCTTAAATTCTAAATAATAAAAAAGTATTGTGGGCTGTCCTGGTTAGCTCAGTTGGTTAGCTGGTTACTTTAACACCAAGGTCAAGGGTTCATATCCTCATACTGACCAGCTGCCAAAAAAAAAAAAGAGCACTGTATCAGTCTAACTTGCAAATTTATTTTTGGCAGAATATGAAATAAGAAGCCTTAAAATTGATGGCATCTTAGATTCAACAAAATACATTAATAACTTACTGATGTTCAAGATCTAATAACACAGTAAGACCTGTAATTGCAAACTCTTGTAAGAATCCTGGGCCAGCCCGTGGCTCACTCAGGAGAGTGTGGTGCTGATAACACCAAGGCCACGGGTCCAGATCCCTATATAGGGATGGCCAGTTAGCTCGCTGGGTGAGCACGGTGCTGACAACACCAAGTCAAGGGTTAAGATCCCCTTACCGGTCATCTTTAAAAAAAAAAAAGACTCTTGTAAGAATCCATACCCCCTTCACAATCTCACCTCCCTCATACTTCATTTCTCTTTGTGTTGATCTCTTTTTGCTCCTTTCCTGAAGTTTGGAATTTTGGCTTCTGTCATTCACTGGGACTCTGATGTTTACAGTACACTGGTGTCCCCATTATCCCATCTGTCTGTACATGTCACCCATTTTTATATCTCTCTTGGTTAGTTACTTTTCTCTGTTCTTCTCTCCAACCTACTCTCTGTTATCACCTGACTAAAATACAGAAGTGAAATATGTACATCGATGTACACATACTGAAGTTTTATTTCTTTGCTCTGAAATAACTAAATATTTACATTTCTTGCTCAAAGAAAATTAATACAACAAATTAAGCTGCTCATAAGTATGGTACAAGTGGAAGGTATAATAGGATGGAAAATCAACACCAGGTCTGGGAAAAGGAGAAAAAGTTAGTAGCTGAGGACCTACTATATATAAAATAGGTATAAACCATTTCATTTAATTTCACAAAACACTAACCAGGCATTTTAAATTCCATTTTTAAGTAAGTTTCCTAAGATTACATAGAGAATAAATGACAGAATTTAAACGCTGGTATGATTCTAAAGCCTATTGCTTTTTCCAATATATCAGAAGTTGAAAAACACAAAATTTATAATGGACTACTAAACTACAACTGTAAAACACACACGCACCCAATGTGTTTTTAAATTACCTGGGATGGTGACCTATCTGTGGAGGATGATGGTACAAATGTCTTCTCTAAAGTTTCAGGCAAAGAGTGATACATATCCTTCTCCCCCAGTTTCCAATAAGTCAGTCCTAATGTGCACAAGTATAGAATAGAAAAGAGTTAGGGAAGAGAGAAAAGATGCTTCCTAGAATAACTTATTTTTACCTAAAGAAAATTAAAGATGGGAAGGAACTAGTTTTTGGCTACCTGGTTACAGCAAGTTGAACTTTGATGAGAAAAGAGTCACATAAATGCCTTACCATGTAAAAGTCCTAACTTGATGCAAATATTTAAAACTGATACATTATTAAAAGACAAATTGAATGAATACAAATGAAAATATATTTTAAAATAGACAACAATTTCTTTATGAATAGTGTAGACATATAGAATCAATGTAAAGAATTCAATAATTCAAATATTTATTGAGCATCTTCTGTGCCAGGCTGGAGAGGCAGGAAGAGTGAGACATGAACAATAAGTAAACCATGCAGAATATACGGTATGTCAGAAGGTGTATCTACAGTATATACAGTATGTAAGCTCTTGATGACAAAATTTTAAAATAGGATTAAAGGGGATATGTGGGTGGAGGCAGACATTTTTGGGGAGGCAGCTGGTCAGTAGGGGATCTGAATCCTTGGCCTTGCTGTTGTAACACCATGCTCTAACCAACTAAACTAACCAGCCAGTCCCTAGATGCTAAACAGGGTGTCAAGGCTGGCTCACTGAGAGGGTAACAATCAAGAGGCAGTTAGCCATTTCAGCCACTTATGAAGGAGTTCCCCATATAGAGGAGGAAGAACATTTCAAGTAGAGTAAGAAGCCAATGCAAAAATCTGGTATATTTGAGCAAACAGCCTCCCTACTGAAGCAGAGAAAGGGAGAGACTAACAAAAAGTGAGGTCAAAGAAGTGAGCAGGCTAGATCTTGCTGGGCCCTGTAGGCCTAAAGACATTAGCTGTCATTCTGAGGGAAATAGACAACCACCGCAGAGTTCTGAGCAGGGGAGTCACATAATCTGATTTATCTTGTAAAAGAGGCTGGCCAGTTAAAGCTCAGTGTTCAGATCCCAGTATGGGCCAGCTGCCAAAAAAATAAATAAATAAGTAAAAGGATCCCTCCTTCTACTGTGCTGGGAAGAGATTGATGGGTGCAAGAGTGGAAGCAGGGAGGCTGATTGAGAGCTTGCAGCAGCCCAGGTGACAGACAATGGGGCTCTAACAGAATGGTGGCAGTGGAAGTGGTGGTAAGTGGTTGGATTCTGGAAAATTTAGTAAAGCAAAGCTAACTCATCCTGATGAATTAGACGTGGGATGGGGGGGTGGGGGGAGTCAGTATACAAAAGCCATTAGGACTAGAATAATGGCTGACCAGTTAGCTGAATTCATTAGAACGCAGTCTTGTAACACCAAGGTCAAGGGTTCGGTTTCCCATGCTGGCCAGTGGCCAAAAAAAAAACAAACAAGACTAGATAAGCTCACCATGGAGTATAAAGAACGGCTTGCAGAGGGTCTGAATTTGTTCATTCATTTTGGAGCACTTGAAAAATGCTGAGATGATTTTTGCAGCTGTTTGAAATAATTGCAAACGTACTTCTTCCTTCTATCTTTACATAACTTACACACAAATGAAGGCAAGTAAGGAAGTTACGGGTACAAGAGGAACACCACAACACATGATACACTTACAGAAACCACATTAATATATAGTAGTCCCCCTTTATCTGCAGTTTTGCTTTCTGCAGTTTCAGTTACCTCTAGTCAAACCGCAGTCAAAAATATGAATTGTTTATTTCTGGAATTTTCCATTTCATAAGTTTTAATTTTAAATTGTGCCATTCTGAGTAGTACGATGAAATCTTTCACCATCCCACTCTGTCCCACCAGGATGTGAATCATCCCTTTGTCCAGCATATGCACACTGTGTACACTACCCTGCTGCTAGTCACTTAGTAGCCACCTCCATTATTGGATCAACTGTGGTGGTATTACATGCTTTCATTCAAATAATCCTTATTTTACTTTTTTATGTTTTTGGCAGCTGGCCGGTACAGGGATCTGAACCTTTGACCTTGGTGTTACAAGACAGCACTCAAACCAACTGAGCTAACAAGCCAGCCCTAAGTAATCCTTATTTTACTTCATAATGGCCCCAAAGCACCAGAGTACTGATGCTGGTGATTTGGATATGCCAGAGGGGAAGCCATAAGTGCTTCCTTTAAGTGAAAAGGTGAAACTTTATCATTGGTATGTACATATAGAAAAAAACATAGTACATAAAGGGTTAGTATTATCCGCAGTTTTAGGCCTAACATATCCTCCCTGGATATGGGGAGACTACTGTACTGTATATGATTATCATTCTATAACAAGAACTGCAGACAAGTTGTAAAAAAAAAAAAAAAAAAAAAAAACCCTTTAAGGGCCGGCCCGGTGGCGCACTGGATGGTGCGCCGCTTGGGAAGCGCGGCGGCGCTCCCGTCCAAGGGTTCGGATCCCACATACAGACCGGCTCCCGCTCACTGGCTGAGCGAGGCGCGGGAGCAACACCGAGGCTTGCGATCCCGTTGCCGGTCCCTGGTCCGGTACGGGGGCAACACTGAGGGTTGCGATCCGTTGCCGGACACGGACAAAAGACAAAAAAAAAAAAAAAACCCTTTAAGGGCCGGCCCGGTGGCGCACTGGATGGTGCGCCGCTTGGGAAGCGCGGCGGCGCTCCCGTCCAAGGGTTCGGATCCCACATACAGACCGGCTCCCGCTCACTGGCTGAGCGAGGCGCGGGAGCAACACCGAGGCTTGCGATCCCGTTGCCGGTCCCTGGTCCGGTACGGGGGCAACACTGAGGGTTGCGATCCGTTGCCGGACACGGAAAAAAGACAAAAAAAAAAAAAAAAACCCTTTAAAAATGTGAGTTAGAGGGTGGTGCTGGTAACACCATGGTCCCAGGGTTTGATCCTTGTGCTGGCCAGCTGCCAAAAAACCAATAAATAAACAAACAAAAATGTAAGTACCATACCTGTTCCTGAATCAGACATCCAAGAATTTGGACTTTCATCTGGTTTACTGAGGTAAAAAGCACAAGGATGTGTAGCAGCAGCAAAATCAGACTACAATTCAAGAAAGAAAACTATTAGTTGAGAGCTAAAAATCATAAGGCACAAACTGCTGACTCAAGGAATGAGACCCAGCTGTCAAAAACAAGTTAGAGACACCTTCAGAGCATTCATGAGGAAGTAAGAAAGCCTGGTTTCCCCATGATTATGAGAACACAAAATGATAGGGATTAACAGTGAATAATTTTCTTTTCCTATGTGATTTACAATAGTTTATTCTGGTTCTCTGTGGAGCTGGAAGGAGAAAATTGGGAGCAGGTGTTCTTTGAGTTTAGACCGAAATTATATTTATAATTTGCCATCTACTTCCAAAAGAAATTTAAGGTGCCTAGAACTAAAGTTATTTAGTATAAAAACTAACATAAAAACCCAAACAATTCATTTTCATCATTACAACTACAATAAGTCAAATTAACTCTTAAAACCACATAACATTAAAATGAACCTTAAATAGGAGACTTCTCTTTATATACAAACAATTGGTTACTAATCCTAGAAAAGGCTGAAAATGTTTACTTATCATCAATTCTAATAAATTCTGAGCTAATTTCTCCTCACAGTATCTGACATTGTCACAAAAAATATGTTTCCAAACAGATATGTGACAGGAATATTTCTACTGGAATTTTTCTTATCAGTTCCACCATCACCAAACTTTTAATCCCTGTTAAAAAGTATTTAAGTTGGGGGCCGGCCCGGTGGCACACTGCTACAGTGCGCCGCTTGGGAGTGTGGTGGCGCTCCCGCCGAGGGTTCGGATCCCGGTTCCCGCTCACTGGCTGAGCAAGGTGTGGGAGCAACACCGAGGGTTGCGATCCCGTTGCCGGTCCCGGTCCGGTACAGGCACGACACTGAGGGTTGTGATCCGTTGCCGGACACGAAAAAAGAAAAGAAAAAAAAAAAAGTATTTAAGTTGCATTTGCTTACAACCATCCATGAACCCACTACAAAAGAGTACGCTAAGATAATAAAACTCTACCTATCAAGAAGAGGGATTAGGCCGGCCCGGTGGCGCACTGGATGGTGCGCCGCTTGGGAAGCGCGGCGGCGCTCCCGTCACCCTTTATTCTGCAATGATATAATTTGCTTCCAACACAAACCCAGATTATTCATGTGTTAAAATGTACAACCTGCCAACTTTGTTGGAGAGCAGAGCTGGTGTAAGAGAATATTTTGTTTTATTCTCCCTTGACAAAAAAAAAAAAAAAAATTTTTTTGAAGAGGGATTAATTACATCAGCCTTATAAGGCAGCACTTAGCCTCTTTTTCGAAGTGAGCCAACCAGCCATCCCTATATAGGGATCTGAACCTGCGGCCTTGGTGCTATTAGCACCACACTCTCCCAAGTTAGCCACAGGCCGGCCCTTAGCCTCTTTTTCATCAAGAAATTACTTGTACCTGCCAGCCATACACACACCTAAGCCGTCTTTTGTCTCCTACCTATTTGAATTTCTCCCAGTACTTAAAAGACCAGGAAAAGGTGAATGGAGAAGACTAAGTCAAATATTTTAATCCTATGTAAAATATTTTGTCCTCATCCTGATTCTGAGGTGCAAACTTCAATGCACTTGGCTGACACAAGTGCAAAGTGGGCTGCTGAGGGGCTTACCTTGCACAGCTGCCTGCTGCACTCTTCTGGGCCAACAAGGCACCCACTGAAGAAAGCAGGCCCAGCTTTTAATAAAAAATAGAAGTACGGTGCAATAAAAAGCCCTTCTAAAACGTAAACCCTCTTAGCTGAAGAAGCTAGACTAAGCCTAGGACACGGACCTTAATGAGTTTCAGTAACAGTCTATTAGCCTATCTGAAAAACTACCCGAAGTTCTTCAGCCTGTGAAATGGTCAAGTTGCATCTGTCCAAGACAAAGGACCAAGGAAACAAAGAACAACCAGAGCTCTGGAAAACCCTTCTGCTAAATAATATACAATACTTCCAAGTAAATATTACCCCAAATAAACTACCACTGTATAAAAAGAAAAATGGATCACTAGAGAATTCTGATAACAAGCATTCCCTGCTATAGAATAAAACTGAAAACAACGGGAGAAGAGAAAAGATTAAATAGAGGAAAGTTCCAACTTTTCTGAATCCAGAATTATGCATGTAATAAAAGCAATTCAGGTGTGGTGTCTCTGATTCACCAACCACAATTTGCACAAAATCATTTAAAACTCAGAAATATCAAAGAAACTTGATTTCCCCTAATGATTTAATACCAAATATATCATGCACCTAAATAAATAAATAAATAAATAAAACTTGTCCAGGAGATGATCAAAGAAAAGGAAATACCCAGAGGGAATCATCGCCTCCTCATAGCCCCTACTGATCAAGAGAGGCAGAAGACACTACTAGAAGGGCATTTCTCAGGCAGTGCGCCATATCACTGGTCTGACTCTGCACCAAATTGAGAAGGAAAATTAGGCTAGACCAATGGTTCCCAGACTTACTGCACATCAGAATCACCTGAGGAGCTTTAAAACTCCCAATACACAGGTCATGGCCCACACTGAAGAAGTCAGAACACCTGGGATTTGCAGCCAGGATAAGTAGATTTTTAAATCTCCTCAGGTGACTCTACTGTGCAGCAAAGTTCGGGAACCACTGGGCTACATCTAATATATTATAAAAGACAACAAGAAAACCAGTGAATACAAGTTACATAACCAAAACCCAAAGTTTATCAGAAGTGGAAAAGTCTCACCAAGGTGGAGTTTCCAGTCTTAACCTTAGTAAAAACAAGTAAAGAAACTATGTATGAAAACATTCTCCCTTTATGTTAACTTATTCCAGTGAAAAAAGCAATTTTTATCCCAGTCTCCAAATGTCTTTATGCTATCATACCAAACAAAGATATACCATACAGGTTCGAAAGAAGAGAATTACATAGTACTAAAGGGCTTTTCTGGAATAGAACCACTAAGATAGTACTAAAGGGCTTTCCTCGGCCATAGAAGTTTGGTGGCTGGTGCAGCTTCATTCACATTCACTTCCCTACTCCTAAACACAAATCTGAAGAAGTTTAAAGAATGGTTGATATTAGAAAGCCTAAACATCACGTGTTGAAGGAGAAATTTTACTGAAAGAAAAGAGAAATAAATAGTGCCTTATGGAGGTTAGACTACCTTCTTATGACTTCTATTCTTCAATAGAACTTTTGCATAGGATAATGGAAAGACTATGTTTAGGATAATCAAGACATGGTCAATTTCTAAAGGACTGTAAGGAGACCTGATTTTGCAACCTCAATGTATTATACTAAACAATGCTATTGTATGACAATTTAGGACAATAAAGCTATAAAGATGTATTGAAACACTCAATATATCTATAGCCCTTTAATGAAAGCAGCTGCAAGGTTAGCAAAAGGACCACATAGAATTCTAATATTTAACCTCTTACAATTTGGAGTATAAACTCAGAATTGTCCAAATTTCAACATTTTTTTATAAAGGCATCTTAAGGTATTCAACACATACACTACTACTTCTTATAACTTAATAGTATGGAGACTAGCTGGTGAGCTCAGCTGGTTGGAGCACAGCCTTATATTATAACCCCAAGGTCATGGATTTGGATCCCCGTACCGGCCAGCTGCCAAAAACCAAACAAACAAACAAACAAACAAAAAACCTTAACAGTAATATAAATTATTTGAAAGCTTTTTAAAAAATAATTAAATAGACTACTCTGGTTAAGTGTAAACATTTGCAGTACATAGAGAAATATGACCTTTACAAACGATTCATTTGTTACAGTATTTCATCTCTCTTAGTTCTGATTTCCAGCCTAATAAAGAAGCAACACTTAGAGCATATCATTATTTCCAATTCTTTGAGACACCAAAAGAAAGATTTATAAATGAACAAATTAATGATACAAAAGGAAGGGCAAAAAAATTATGCTGATGAGTGTGTAGTAAACCTAATGTAATCATCACTAGCTGAAGCGTGCCAGAGAAAAGTGATTTATTACCTACTTTTTCAATTGATGTTTTCTTGCTTTGCTCATTTCCTTGCTTAGATCTTGGACATCCATCTTCTATATGTGCTCTCTTTGGTTGATTCTGCTTCAGCTTTTGTGCCCATGATGTTATAGATTTACTATTTAAGAAACCAAAATTACTTTCTTTAGATGCTGTCCTTCACATATGAAGCTAAACACCAGTAGATACTGTCAGTGGAAAATGCTTTGAGTTGTTTTTCTTTTTTTTTTTTTTCCTTTTTGTATTTTTTTACTGACCGGTAACGGGATCCCAACCCTCGGTGTCACGCCCGTACCGGGGACCGGCAAGGGGATCGCAACCCTCGGTGTTGCGCCCGCACCGCGCTCAGCCAGTGAGCAGGAACCAGTCTCCACATGGGATCCGAACCCTCGGCAGGAGCGCCGCCGCGCTCCCAAGCGGCGCACTCTCCAGTGCGCCATCGGGCCAGCCCGAGTTGTTTTTCTAATAGTGGAAAGATGATAGGTTTTTATTGATTCACCTAAATTTCTTTTTTCAACTTATTACCAAAGGACAAGTAAACAAAAATACTACCAGTAATTAACAACACACAGAGCCTGCAGCCATGGAATAGAATAAAAACCACACTTTCCCCTTCAAGTACTCAATATGTTATGTACAATGAAAGCATATTTATTGGCATAGACTGATAATTATACCTGATAGTAGGTAGTACTTGTGTTACTACAGCTAAATACCTTACTTTATTTTTTTTATTTTTATTTTTTTTCCTTTTTGTCTTTTTTTACTGACTGGTAACAGGATCACAACCCTCGGTGTCGCACCCGTACCGGGGACCGGCAACGGGATCGCAACCCTCGGTGTTGCACCCGCACCGCGCTCAGCCAGTGAGCGGGAACCGGTCTCCATATGGGATCCGAACCCTCGGCGGGAGCGCCGCCACGCTCCCAAGCTGCGCACTCTCCAGTGCGCCACCGGGCCGGCCCGTAAATACCTTACTTTAGATGGCATACTTCAGAGATATAAAACTGAAAAATTAGGGTAAACTCCAAAATTTTAAAAGATTGTTTGTTTTAAAAACTTTCAGCCACAGTCTCCTTAACTAAAAAGTCTCCAAAGTCAATCAAAAAGTCTTTAAACTTACAAAAATTATTATTATTATTTTTTTTTAGTGGCTGGCCAATATTGGCATCCGAACCCTTGACCTGACCCTGGTGTTATAACATCGCACTCTAACCAACTAAGCTAACCAGCCAGCCCCAAAATTCTTCTTATATATAAAAAACATAAAATTGAGTATGCTTGTATATAATTTTCAGTTTCAAATTACACAAACATGTGTGACAAAATTCTACTATTAATTCAGTCCTGTCTCCTAATTTTTAGCAAGTTTATAGTGACTAGAAAATACAAAAGGAATTTTCTGGCAAGGCCTCCCCCCTTAAGAGTTTAGTAGTCTTATAGCATGTGGGAAGAAAGTCAGATGTCATTAGTATATAGTGTGCTTTGTTTATTTCAACTTTCCACAGGCAACAAATAAAATACTTTGCTTTTAATGGTAAAACTGATAAATGTTCATATACATCTCATTCTATTATAGTCCAACTAAAAGGAACTTTATTTACTACATCCTAAATGTAATAAACGGGTAAAACTCCCTTCAAATGGTGGAGAAATTCTACTTACCTATTTGTTTTTCCACTGTATACTTCAGAAATCTTATTTTCACCAAGAAAATTATGTTCGAATTCACCAGGAAAAATAGAACTGTCTTCCTTTAAAGATGCACGAAACTCTTCAGTAGTCTGTATACAAAAACTCTTGTTTTTTACACCATCTACAAGTGAATCTGTCTGCATCATAGGTGCTACATACTGTCCTTTAGAAATGTCTGTGTGCTCCATGAACTCTTTGGGGTCTTCAGATTTGTAGGTATTTAATTCTGAGACACAAAAGGTACCATACCCACTGCTCACTGAGCTACTATCCACATTGCAGTCTGGTTGTGATGTGGACATTTCTTGCTGCATTTCAGGTTCTTTAGATTTAGGATAACTGATAATAGATTCATTTCTCTCACTGCTTTCAGAAAAAAAACCCATTCGACTTTCTGAAGATACTTGTTTGCTTGAAGAACTCCTATCATAGGAAGCCCAGGAAGTATTATGGGTCTGTAATTTGACTAAATTTTTTATCTCCTCCTGTATACGCTGGAAATAAAAAAGTTACAGATTTGGGTAAAAAAGTATATTAAACATCACACTTTTATAAATGTTATGAAAATACCGTGTTTCAAAATATGAGAAAATATTCTAAAGATAATATGATGCTTTATCTTTAATTTATAAACAAAATTGATAAAATGTATTAACTGGTTTTTCTGCAAATTTCACAAACATTAAAAAAAGAATCAAGGGCCGGCCCGGTGGCGCACTGGATAGTGCGCTCCCGCCCAAGGGTTCGGATCCCACATACAGACCGGTTCCCGCTCACTGGCTGAGCAAGGCGCGGGAGCAATGCCGAGGGTTGCGATCCCGTTGCCGGTCCCCGGTCCAGTACGAGGGCAACACTGAGGGTTGCGATCCGTTGCCGGACACGGAAAAAAGACAAAAAGACAAAAAAAATAAAATAAAATAAAATAAAAAAAGAATCAATATAGGGCCGGCCCGGTGGCGCACTCGGTAGAGTGCGGCGCTTGGGAGTGCAGCGGCGCTCCCACCGAGGGTTCGGATCCCATATAGAGACCGGTCTGCTCACTGGTTGAGCACGGTGTGGGCGCGACACCGAGGGTTGCGATCCCGTTGCCGGTCGCGGTACGGGCACAACACTGAGGGTTGCGATCCCGTTACCGGTCACGAAAAAAGACAAAAAGGAAAAAAAAAAAAAGAATCAATATAAATGACAACTTACTTGAATTTGGTTGTAGAACTGTTCCTGCTGGGCAACTATCTGTTCTTGGCATTGTTTTTCCACCAAATTGAATAGCTGTAACCACCTGGTCTATGAAATTATAAAATATCTTAATTAAAAATAATATTTAATGTAACATTTCACAGCAAAATTCCTCCAGTGAGAAAGGCCTTTTTTTAAAAGTGTTTTTAATGTAAAATTTATAAGCCAAATTAAATAGTTATAAAAATATATTTAATAAAAAATGTAAGGACATAGGTTTGGGTAACCTGTTCTTTTTTTCTTTTTTTTAAAGATGACTGGTAAGGGGATCTTAACCCTTGACTTAGTGTTGTTAGCACCACGCTCTCCCAAGTGAGCTCACCGGCCATCCCTATATGGGACCCGAACTCATGGCCTTGGTGTTATCAGCACCACACTCTCCCGAGTGAGCCACGGCTGGTCCTGGGTAACCCTTTCTTATGTAACTTGCAGTCTGGGTAAATCTGAAGGTCTGGGTAAAATTACTTTTCAAATGGCATCTTAATTTGATGTTATCTACTATCATTTCTCATTAATCAAGAACTGGTAGCTGTACTTTATATTTGTCTTAAGTTCCTCATCCTTTCCTCATAACAGCTAATGATTTTCTTAAACCCTGACATGTACCCAGAAGAAGGATCCCACATCCTAAAATAAGAAATAGTTTGGTATTATGAGAATTTAACCCCTAACTTATTTGTTCTTCAAGTTTTAACTTATTTGTTCTTTTAAAATCAGATATTAAAGTGTTTCAAAGCACTGCAGAGCTGAAAAAAGAAAGGAATGAAAAAATGACTCTGTACACCTATGGAACTGGAGCTGGCTGGTTTGCTCATTTGGTTAGAGTGTGGTGTTACAACACCAAGGTGATGGGTTTGAATTCCTGTACTGGCCAGCTGCCAAAAACAAACAAACAAACAAAAAACCTAAGGAACTGGCTGATACCTCCCTTCACAGCACACTTTTAGGTCATGATCCATCCTGACTCACAAGAGCAGTCAGCCAGTCAGCCCTCTCATAACTAGGGTATGCCAAAACATGGCAGGAGAGGGGGCATGGAGTTCTCCAGAAGACTAAATTCAATCTCAAGTCTGATATACTTTCAGCAATAGAGTGTATGCAATAACATACAGTATTGGTAAGTAGCTACCATGAAACCTAGCCTCCCTGTTTAAAACCTTTCAATGTCTTTGCACTCCTAATAATTTCCTACAGGGTCCTGCATTGTCGAGCCCCTACATACCTTCCAACTTCATCCTGCCCTTCTCTGTCCCTTGCCTGCTACACACCAGCCTTGCCAGCTTCTTTCTGTTCCTTGAGCATGCCAAAACTGTCTTCCCTCATAAGCTTTGTACTTGCTGTACCGTCTACCTGGCCCTTTCCATAGCGCTTAACATGACTGGTGTCTTCCCATCCTACAATTTTAGCCTAAGTGTCACCTTCCTAAAGCATCCTAACACCTCCTCTCTTTTTTGTCATCCTGTTTATTTCCTTCATAGCATTTACCACAATCAGAAAGTACCTTATTTATTCACTTTGTAAACTTGTCCATCTCCCACCCCTGCTCTATTCTATCTCCAGCAAAGAATGGCTGCTCCAATATATAGTCAAAACGAGTATATAAAAATGCATATTTCAAACAATCCAGAAGCCCTTGAGGTTAATGTTAAAGTTTTTAATTTGTAAAATCTGAACTGTAACAGAATTAAGTTGAAATCTGTATAACAGTATTAAGGCAAAGGGGAAAAAAACCCTCAGGATTGGTAAAAGAAGCTTTCAAAATGAAATATGATAGTACTGATAGAAAATATTAATTATAAATCAACTAACTTCAGGGCAAATTAGGCTAGGTCATAAGTTCTTTATCTTCTAGACTTATCTACAATATAAAGTATGTTACATTAATCAAAACAAAAATAGGTAGGCCGGCCCGTGGCTCACTCGGTAGAGTGCGGTGCTGATAACACCAAGGCCACGGGTTCGGATCCTATATAGGGATGACCGGTGCGCTCACAGTGCTCACTGGCTGAGCGTGGTGCTGACAGCACCAAGCCAAGGGTTGAGATCCCCTTACCGGTCATCTTTTAAAAAAAAAACAAAAACAAAAATAGGGCCGAGCCTGTGGCACACTGGGGGAGTGCGGCGCTGGGAGCGCAGCAGCACTCCCGCCGCGGGTTCGGATCCTATATAGGGATGACCGGTGCGCTCACAGTGCTCACTGGCTGAGCGCAGGGCGGCCGATCTCAAAAAGGACAAAAAAAAAAAAAAAAATTAGGCAACATAGTTTTTTTTTTAAGTCACACTAAACCCAAGCAACATTTTAGGGGTGATTCTTTTTTTTTTTTTTTTTTTTTTT